GGCAGGGCCGGCAGGCTCTCATGCCAACGCCTCCCCTCTCCTCTCGGCAGCTCTATGTATTACGATGAGGACGGGGATCTTGCTCACGAGTTCTACGAGGAGACAATCGTCACCAAGAACGGGAGGAAGCGCGCCAAGCTGAAGAGGATCCACAAGAACCTGATACCTCAGGTAATGTGCGGAGAAGGGTGGGGGAAAGTGAGCGCAAAGCGCCACGGTGACACTTCAAGTCCGGACTTTACAGGAGCCATTTCCCTCAGGGCATCTTCTTGCTGGAAAGGTGGAGGCTCTCTCCTCCCCTCAGCTGCTGCCTCAGAGCCATGATTCCTGTGTGTCCTGGCTTACACCCCTGTCACCTGAGGCTGTGACAGGAAAGGGAGAGCTGGTGGTACCCTCCAGCTGCCCTTTTTGGAGAGAAGTAGTGCCTGAGCCTTTCAGAACTGCGAGGCAGGGAAAGGTAGCTCAGCCGGGTGTATGTTGTGGGGCACAGAGTGCCAGGCAGCCCTACATGGCCATGGTGTCACCTTACCAAGCACCTTCCACGAGGTGTAGGGGGTTGTGCTGCTTCAGCCAGTGTCATGTCACTGTGGAGGGACAGGTCCTGCATTGGGGAGCAGCAGCCAGAGCCTGTCAGCTGCTGACATGAGTTCGCACATCCCCTCCAGCTGCTCAACAGTGTTGACAGCTCTGTGCTTTGCTCTTCAGTGGAAAAGTCTCCTCTTTAAATAAGCAAGTGGTGTGAAGCTGGGCAGGGGCTGGGATGTGAAGTGAGGATCATGGTGCAGGGGCAGGAGAGCCTGCATGTAGGGAATCTTTATGGGGCATAAATGGAGGAAAGGGCAGATCAAACCAGGGCTGGAGAAAGCCCTTATAAGAGTCTACCCTAATTAAGCAGAAAGGCATGGCTACAGTGAGCACCTAGGGTGAGCTGTCAGTGTGCTCTGAGGAGTGGGCAGCCTCTCAGCAGGATGGGACCCCTCTGAGTGCTGAGAAGGCAGTTATGGACAGAGGGATTTGGTGCTGCTTCCTGGGCGGGCATTCTAGCAAAGGCAGGCTTGGCCCGTGGAACTGATTCTTCGTTCATGTGGGTTGAAACTTACCCAGTTGGAAAGCTTAGCTGAGCTGGAGAGAGCAGGTACCAGCACTGAACAGTCCTTTTCTAGCACAGGCTTTACTCCGGTTCTGTGGGTGCAGGCCCAGCCCCCGCTCCCCCCTCTGCCCCAGCCCCCCAGCTGCCAGTGGCTCCTCCCAGTGCTAAAACAGGAGAAGGCTTGGACGGGGCATGGGAACGGTTCCTGTGGCTGGTGTGGAGGGAGCATGCATTCAGCAGCCTCCCCTCTGCACAGAAAGCCGCTTTTCTTGTGTGCCAGCTGCCCCGGCTGCGTTCTCTCAGAGAGCTCTTTTCATTCTTCTAAATCCCGTGAATGAAAGGTGCCGGATGAAAAGCCCAGACAGCCAATATCTGCCAGTCACGCACCAGCTGCTGCACAGGCAGTGCCTGGCAGAGCAGCTCCCTCCTTTCTCGCCCTGCCATGTGTGGCAGCCGGCCGTGCCGCCCTTGGCTCTCCAGGGACGAGTGCGAAGGGCAAAGTGCTGGTGCTTTGTTTGCTGCTGCTCAGGCGTACCTGGTGTCACAGGCGATTTATGGACCCTGGGCCCTCCGGTTACTCGAGGGCACAGTGTTCTCTGTCACTGGGTGACTGGCAGGGCTCGGGGATGTTGATTGGCCGTCCCTTCTGCTCACCACTCTGACTCTTCTTTTAGGGCATAGTGAAACTAGAGCATCCTCGCATTCACGTGGATTTCCCAGTGATTATCTGCGAGGTGTGAGTCCCAGACATCGCTGCCTGCGGGTGGGAGGCCCTGCCCCACCGCCCCCAGCCTTGCCTGGCCAGGCTGCATCGTGTTCCCACCGAGGAGGACTCCAGGAATGTGGCGGGACGGTGGCTCTTCCCTCACCTGGATGTGAGGCAGGATGGAGCAGGCCCTCGCAGGAGATGGGTGACTGTGTGCAACGACTGCTTAAAAACATCCTTGCTTGAGTCAGAAGACTAAAATACCTTTTGTAGCCTCTAGCCGACGTTTGATGGGTAACTGGAACTGCAAACAAGCTGCTGTGATTGAGCTGTGAAAGGGAGAGCAAGCCTGCACTTCTCACAAGAGAGAATCCCCTGCTTCTCAGGTATGCGGCCCAGGGAGAGCCAGGGCATGGTAATGCCCTGCCCTGCACCCCGAAGTCCCTGGGGCCCGCAGGTTAGATGGCCAGTGTTGCAGCATGTCCCTTTGACACCGGTATGATGTGATGCTCCCCTGTGTGGGTTTGTTTCTGGAGGATAAACAGGGCAGGCTGAGGGGTCTCAAAGCACATCAGGCTGGCTGCTGCTCTCCTCTTGCAAAGGGGATGGAGATCAGATGCCTTTCTCTTAGGCCTCGGTCTCTTCCCCCACTTCTTGGAAAACTGCATTTCCCTGCTTATGCCAGCGCTGGGGAGGTTGGCTTTGCTGCTGCCTGCTGGAGAACTCTGCAGTCCCTGGCCACTGCTGGTGGCAGCAAGGTCCCAGCTCTGCAGCAGACTTTCCTCCTCCATTGTCACGCTGGCTCCTGCTGAGCGCCATCCCTCGCCTGCTGTGGGGCTGGGCTGCCGGGCAGCTTCCTCACCCCCGCTGCTGTTTGAACAGATACCTCCCTGTAGGCTGGGCCTCGACTGAGCCAAGCAGGAAAGGAATCCTCTCTTCCTTCCCTGTGCCCCCAAAACAATCAATCAGCGTACCTGCCCCGGCTTGGAAATCTCCCTGGCGATGTGAACTGTGGTTCCTCCCGCATCCCAGCTGGTGGCAGGAGGAGAAATGCGATGCACTTTAAAGGGAGGCTTTCTGCCCCACCTCAGAAGGTCCTGCTCTTTTCTCCTCTTTCCTCCCACCTGAGAAGGTCGAGGTCTTGGCGGCACTGAAGAACCTCTCACCCCTGCGTGTGTCCAGCTGCTGGGGGAAAGGCCTGACCCCAAATGCCCCTTGGAGCATGAGGAGTTGCTGCCTCCCCACTCGGCTGTGCCCAGACCAGGCAGGCAGAGGAGGACCGGCAGCAGGCACAGCTTTAAAGTGGGTCAGAGCCTACTCCCCACAGCAGCCAGCTCGGCTTTCCTCCTCTTTCCTTCCAGAACTTATTTACTTTCTAAGCACTTCAGATGTTTGCTACCTCGATTTTTAATTTAAGCTGCTGGCACTTGGCTGCCAGCCCTGTCGGTGTCTAAGTTGGATGTATCCATCCCCGCGTCCGCCGAGAGCCGCCCGGGCGCGGGGCCACATTCCCGGCTTCGGGGAGATAACAGCGACGTGGCTGTTGCTGTCTTCCTGTCACCACCTCTTCCCTTCACGTCCCTCCACCCGCGGTTCCCATCGACAGGAGTGAGCACACAGGGTGAAATGGATGTGCCGGCTGCCACCAGGCATGGAAGTGGCAGGGCAGGGCTCGTCTACACTGTGATGCTGGGCACTTCTTTCGTCATCTTTTGTTCTGCTTGCTTGAAAGAGTCTTGTCTTAAAACAATCCCTCACTGAAGTGTTTCTTATTTGCACCACCTGCTCTTGAGTTTCTCCCTGGCTGGAGCTCCCTGGGAAGGGCACCCCTTGGGCTCCACAGGAGAGCAGGAGCTGCTGTCCCAGGAAGAGGAGAGAAAACCGTGGCCACACTGTCTGTGCTGCCTTGCCCCAGGTCTGTTTGAGGGCACGGGAAGCTGCACCGACCCCACCTTGGGCATGGAGGAAAGAGGAGGAGGAGGAGTGGGAAGGGGGTTGGTGCTGCTTGCCTGCCCCAGTGGGGAGCCCCTCACCTGGCCACCAGCCAAAAATCTGCTGGCAAGGCACGGCCCAAACCTGGGGGAGGGGGCAGAGACTGTGACCAGCTTAGCAAGGACGCTTTTGTCCTTTCTGACAGGCTGCCCATCCTTCCCCCAGCGTATTAAACATGCTCCCCCAAAACCCATGCCTTCTCCCACCCTTCTATCCCCTCAGTGTCACCAGAGTGGCAGCAAACCTCTGCAGGCTGCCAACAAGCTGTGTCTCCTGCCCCGCTTCTTCCCAGGCTGGTCCCCACAGCAGCCAGCCCCCAGGACCCTAGCAATCCTGCAACAGCAGGGCCTTGGGAGCACCTGGAGGGATCTTAAAAATGTGAAGGTCACTGTAAATAGTATCTGTGTCCACTGTGGTGTTGGAGCAAGCAAAAAAAAAAAAAAAAAAAAGTTTTCCTTTTGATTTTTTTTTTTTTTTTTTTTTTTTTTGTAGCAGAATCGTACTCACAGACACTAGGCTCCTTGCTCCTCTAGGGTGTGGGTAGGACCTATGGGTTTGGGAAATGTACACTACTTATGGTCCTTCCTCCCAGTGCATCTGTCCACTTTTGTTAAATTTCAATAAAATTATTTGTAGAGCTCACAAGTCCCAGAGCTGTCTTACTGGGGAAGGCAGCTGTACCTGAGGGGAGGTGGACTTTGCTGCTGGCATTTCGAGCCCCCTGTTTTTTTGGGAAGGGGGTATTTGTGCACATGTGGCCAAGCTGATGGTGAAGGACCCCTGAGTCACAGCCATTTCCAGGTTCTCCAGTTGGCACACGGGACTGGCAGGAGTTGGTGGCTTTGTCAGGCTGTGACTCTCTACTTGACATCTTTTAAATATATAACTAAAGTATGTAAGTAATGTGAAACGTATGTAATTTCCTTGTTCATTCCCGAAGGCTGGAGCTCAGGCCTGTGTCCCCTCCCGTGTGGGGACGGAGGTCAGGGGAGCTGGGGTTCGCTGGCAGCCCAGCCTCAGGCTGACTCTTCTTCTTCTTCTTCTTCCCATGGCTCCGCCCGAGCCCTGCAGGGGGGAGGCTGCGCCTGTCCTCGCCTTCCTCGCCTTCCCTGCCAAATCAGTGCCTCATTAATCACGGGGGCCTGACGTTCTGGAGCCGGCGTGACCCTGTGCTGGGATGCCGCCCGTCCCTCGAGCATTGGCGGCTGTCCGTGGGGCAAGTGTGATCTCACTTTGTTCCCCACGTCCTGTCCCCGACAGCCCTGCAAGTGTTTTCCTGCAGCCACCGTCACTTTTCATCATTTCCTCCGAGCAAGCCGGCTCGGAAATGATCTGCTGATGAAAGCTGTCATGAGAGTGAGTGGTGCAGGGTGTCCTGCCAGCCCTCCAGCCTCGGGAGGATGAGGCTCTGGCCCATTCATCCAGAGGGACCTCAGACCCAAGAGGGATGGATGGATCCTGGTGGCATAGAAGGGGACTGTGTGGCTGTGCAGGGTGGTACAGCCTGGCGAGGTTACACAAGGCGATGGCTGTGGCTCTCTGGCTCTGTGACCATCTCTGTGTCTGCCAGGGCCACCGCAGTCCCCTCCTGCTGCCCGTGGGGCAGGGCCATGCCCAGAGCCCCCAGGGTGAAGGCAGGTGCTGACATCCTCTCCTGGCTTCATGGCTACTCCATCCCCAAGCTGACCTCCTCTCACAGCTTGCCCTGACCTATCTGGCACGAGTGGCTGTGACTCATGACCCGTTATCTTTATCTGCCATCCACGAGGAATTCCCATCCTCCTGCTGCCTGCCTGGAGCAGCTCGCCGCTCACCCTGGCCACTGCCCGCTGTTGCCTGCCTGGACCCCTCTACACTCTGGGAATGACTTGGAATGATCTCATGCTCAATAGGGCAAGGGGAGGCTGGATCTGCCCAGCTGCCCCTTCCCAAAAGCAAGTCTTCCCTGTGGAAAGGAAGGAGGGAAACCGAGTCAGGCGATTCTCCCATTGAGGGGACGGCAGTGAGAATCTGCGTCACACTGAGGACTTCCAGCCCTCCCAACAGTGGAAATCTGTGACCCCTCCGGCCACCCCACTGCCGGTGGGGCTGGATACCTTTGCACAAGGAGGATGGAAAATTTTAGCTGCTGGCGAAGGGAGCCTGTTTACTGCCCAGAGGGGAAGGGCAGCGCCTGCAGCGCTGGGACTTCTTGGCTCCCCACAATCTCTCCCAAGGGTTTTGGCAGCCAACGCCCGGCCAGCAGCTGACCCTCCCAGCCCCTCTCCCAGCTGGTGCCTGGCATTGCCTTTAGGTCAGGCCGAGCTGTGGGGTGCAGCCCGGATTTGGAATGGCTGGCCTGGATGCAGTGCCCATCCCTAGCCGGGCTGTCACCCTCTCAGTGGGAGCTTCACCACAAAAGCTGGCACCCAAGTGGTGCCACTAACTGGAGCCAGCTGCAGGTTGCCTGCGGCCACGGCTTGGCACTGGTGGCACCAGGAGCTGACACCGAACAATGCTGGGCTTGGTGCTCCCGCCTGGTCCTTAGGGAGCTGGTGGGTGGCTGGGGAGCACTTCCGTAGATTCAATCCTGCTTCCTTCCCCTGTCGGCCCCGACACACCCTCGCAGTTCCTGTGCAGGGGCACCCCGATGGCCCTCGGCCTAATGGGGCCAGCCCTGGCCAGAGCAGGCGGGGGACAGGCAGCAATGGGGACTGCCACACGGCCGGTCCCTGAGCCTGCCTGTCCCATCGCCTGCCAGAGGGAGCCCACTGGAGCCTCAACAGTGCTCTGGGAAGGAAACCCCCCCAGCCGTGCTACACCCATGGCCCCCCTTGTCCTCTCCAGGCAGGAAACCCACGGGGCCATGGCTGAGTCAGCAGCACGGATTGCCCTAGCCCTGCACAGGATGTCCTGTCCGGCACAGCACCGCCCTGGGGTCACCACTGTCCTGGGGACACTGCTGGTGCAGGGACGCTGATCTTCTGGGGTCACCACCTTGAGGACACCAGCATTCTGGAGTCACTACCATTGTAAGGTCACCAACCTTTTAGGGACAACATGATCCTGGAATACCATCCTGGGGTTACCACCATTCCAAAGTCCCCGTTTTGGAGTGATGATAATCCTGGGGACACCACTGCCCTGAGGTCACCACCACCTGGAGACAACGTCCTGTGACCACAACCCTGGGGATACCACCACTCCCCTGGGGACAGCCCCGTCCCGCGGTCACCGCGGTTTGGGGACCCCCGGTCCTCTCGGCCGCCTCAGCCCCGCGCTTCCCCCGCCGA